GGCTGGAACAACTGGTGACGCTGTTCACCTACTAAAGTGAAGGTATGTGCTTTATCAACACAAGGATACAGGATCCCAAAGACTCAGAAAAACATCACTCTTTCAAAGAAAAATAATAAAGCTCTAATAACAGACTCTAAAGAAGAGGAAATTTATGAACTGCCTGACTAAAAACTTAGAATGATTCTCTTAAGAATTTAATCGAAGTTGGGCTCAGTGGCACATGCTTATAATCCCAGCAACTTGGCGAGGCCTTAAGCAACTTAGTGAGATCCTCTCTCAAAATAAAAGAAAAAATAAAAAGTTTAGGTGGGGCTGGGGATGTGGCTACATGTTAAGTGCCTCAAGGTTCAATCCCTGATATCAAAAAACAAAAACAAAAACAGAGTTTAATTGAATGAAAAGATGACACATATTGATAACTAAATATTTGGAAAAAAACTGCACAAAATGAGACATTCAAAAAAGTAAGAAACCATTAAAAAAAGACACTAGAAGTTCTATGGTTGAAGAAAACAATAGCTTCACTGAAAATTTAATAGCAAGTTTTAATGGCAAAGTTAATAAAGCCAAAGAAAGGATAGGTGAATTTGAAAAAAGGATAGGTGAATTTGAATATGTAGTTGGAGGAAAAAAAAAGGATAAAAAGAGTGAAAAAAAACTATGGAACTTAGGAGGTACCATAACCATACAGGACATGCACATAATTGAAAATCCAGGGGGAAAGAGATAAAAGGATGGAATGTCTATTTAAACAAATAATGACTGAAAATTCCCCCAATTTGGAGAAATATGGACATTCAGATCACATGCATATAGGAATTCAAATAAGCCAAATCCAAAAATGTCCAAAAGAAATGTTAAAATTACATTGTCAAAAGATAAAGAATTTTGAAAGTAGCAGGATAAAAGCAACATATACAAGGCGACTTAAAAAAATACTGTAAAAGGATTCTCTGCAGAAATCTTGCAAGCAAAGAGAGAGCAGTCTGATGTTAATCACACTAAAAATAGTTGAATACAGAAAAGATTAAGATAAATGAATCAAAGTGTATTACCACAAAAATAATCAGTAATATGTAAACTAAACCAGGAAACACACACACACAAAATCAATTATAAAACCATTTTAAAAATGGCAATAATAAGTTCTTCATCATCAGAAATAAATGTAAACATGTAGGTTAAATTTTCTAATCAGAAGATATGCTGAGACTGAATAGGTAAAAATACAATATCCAATAATTTTACACTTGAAAGTGATCAGCTTTATCATTAAGGACATCTGTAAGCTAAAAATAGAGATGTAAAAAGATGTAGGAGACCAAATAGACTTCAGGCAAAAAAAAAAAAAAGGTTACAGGAGAAAAAAAGGTCATCATATAATATGAGTGTGGCCAATTCTATAAAATATTTATGTACCCAACATTGGAACACCTAAATGTATAATTCAAATACTAACAGAATTGAAAAAAGAAACAAATAGCTTTAATATTCCACTTTCTACAGTATATCCATACAGAAAATTAATAATTTAGACAAATTGTATGTAACCAACATACATAGAACATTCCATCCAAGAGCAACAGAACACACAATTCTTCCCAAACATAGGCAGAATTCTAGAACTGACTATATATTGGGCTCCAAAACAATTCTCAACAAATTTAAGACTAGCATTTTATCAAGCATCTTTCTGATCACAATGGCATGAAACTAGAAATCTATAATAGGATTACAACAGAAAAAAAGTGGAAACTTAAAAATATGCTCCTAAATAATGAATGCATGAAGGATAAAATTTAAAAAGCAATGAAAATTTTTTTCTCAAGATGAATAAAAATGGAAACATAATAATCCAAAACCTATTGGATACCACAAAAGCAAACACAGCTAACATACTGAACAGAGAAACTGCAAACTTTTCTTGTGAGACTGGAATAAGACAGGGTTGCCCACTTTCACTACTTGTATTCTACATAGTACTGGAAGTCTTCACCAGTGAAATTAGACAAGAGAAAGAAATAAAAACACCAAAGTTGAAAAGAAAGAAGTAAAAATACTCTTTTTTTGGTAGGTGAGCCACTTGAATATGCAGAAACTCCTACAGACTCCAACCAAAAGTATTAGAACTAATAAACAAATTCAGTAAAGTTGCAGGATATCAAATCAAGATAGAAAAATCAGTAGCATGTCTATATATGATCAGCAACTATTTGTAAAAGAAATCAAGAAAATTAGCCCATGTATACCAGATACAAATAATAAAATATGTAGGAATAGATTTAACCAATGAGGTAGAAAATCTCTCCACTAGAAAGTATAAAACAGCCAGGCACACTGAGGTAAACCTGTAATCCCAGCAGATTGCGAGGCTGAAGCAGGTGAATCTCGAGTTCAAAGCCAGTCTCAGCAACTTAGTGAGACCCTAAAAGCAAATTAGGAAAACCCTGTCTCTAAATAAAATATAAAATGGGATGAGGATGTGGCTCTGTGGTTAAGCCCCGCTGGGTTCAATCCCTGGTACTAAAAAAAAAAAAAAGTCTAAAACAATAACAACAAAAATACATCCATGTTCTTCCTGTCAATCTCTTTTCCACAGTGGCTGGCACCATTTTCCATTCCCATCAGTAGCACCTTTAAGAGGTGATTAGGGCATTCATCAAAGATATTCCTTTCAATATTTGACTAGCCCTGTGCACACACTCTTACCCGACTTAAGAATCTGGCTCCCTGATCATGTACTTCCCAGCCCCCAGACTGTGGGAGATAAATTACAGTCCTTCAGTCTTTGTAGCAGCACAAAATGGACCATGTTGCTACAATTGCTAATTTACTAGGTTTGATATGACACAGTACTATAGAGTGGTGACAGAACAACTCACTGTTCTAAAGGTTGGAACTTCAAGATCAAGACATTGGCAGGTTCCTTTCTCCTGAGGTCTCTCTCCCTGACTTGCAGATGGCTGCCTTCCTGCTATCTCCTCACCTGGTCTTTTCTCCATGCATGAGCATCTCTGATACTTCTTTCTCTTCTTTTAAGAACACCAGTAATGTTCTTTCAGGCCATTTTAACTTAATCACCCATTAAAAGATCTTATCTCCCAGAGGAGTTCCCTTCAGAGATACTGGAGTTGGGTCTACAACATATGAATTTCTGAGGGACAAAATTAACCCATAACACTAACTATTAAAGCAAATATTACCACCTTGAATTTGATGGTAAAGTGTTTTCATCTGTTTGCTATTCCAGAATTTTTATTAATCCTTTAACACTAGAAAAACCAAGTGCTATAGCTAAATTTCTGATGACTGTGACAGCCATTAGTGTGCTGCTTGTTTTTTCCCTCTTTCTTTCTTTTTGGGTAATGGATATTGAATTCAGGGTCACTTAACAACTGAGCCACCTCCCCTGCCCTATTTTATATTTTATTTAGAGACAGGGTCTCACTGAATTGCTTAGCACCTTGCAGTTGCTGAGGCTGGCTTTGAACTCACAATCCTCTTGTCTCAGCCTCCTGAGCCACTGGGGTTATAGGCATGTGCCACTATGCCAGCTGGAGTGCTTCTTGAAGATATTTATAACCACCCTGATGAAATCCCTGGGACACTCTTGGAGAATATATTGAATAATCTCAACAAATTATAGTATAGTCTAGCATGTTTTCAAACTGTCCTGCTTATAAGCTTCCACTTAATTTAAATGTAGGCTGTCTGATTTCAAGGATACATGAGTGAGAAAATGCTCTAATTTATAGGTACTCTTCTTGTTACTTCTGAAAAAAAAATTAATAATATTATGAAATAGTTTCTGAAGAATTTATTGGATGTTTGATATTAAGCTGATATTCCATGTTGTCTCATAATAAAAAAGTCTTATGATGAACATTTCAAAATTGGGCATTTTGCCTAAAAGATTCAGCCTAAGATGAATATTTAAACTTAGCAGAATCATTTTCAAATATGAAAAGAAGAAGGCACTATGGAAGATATTTTATCATGTACAATTTCAGATTATAAAATGAGGCATATAATATGAAGTTATAGGGGAGCAAATTCTATCTCAATATAAGAATACAATGTCAACTACAAAAGCTTAACAAAAGGGACTGTGTTATTCTGTGTACTGGTCAGTTTCCGGGCCTAGGAGTCTAAAAGCACAGACTTCATGGTAACAAAATCTGAAGTGGTATTCATTCCTGTACTGGAACCTTGTTAAACAAGATTATATCGGAGACCCCTGACTGTAGTGGTTTTTCAATCCCCAAATAGTGTTTGCTCATTGGTTGAGTGTTACTTCTAAATTCATAGCTTTTTATGCCAGCATACGTTTAAAGGGCATGGATAGGAGAAGATAACTAACGTTGTCCTCTTAGTGACCAGATACTAAAATGACACTCAAGGCCCTACTGACTGTTTCTTTGTCAACTTTACTGACTTTATTGTTTTTTTTTTCTTTTTGCATATGTAAATATTAAACAATATTTGTTTTATTAAGGAAGTTAAATTTATTTCAAAAATTATTTAAGTAACAGTGCATTTGTTAGTATAAGTAAAAGAATAAGGGAGGAAAATAAGGAATAATAAAATGGTCAATATAGAATGTGAACCTTACTTGTTTGCTAAAAAATAATATGATGAGAAATAGCTACTACTTTAGATGAGAGTATTATTCAACCAAATGAGAGAAGAAAATGTCAACTTAAACCAGTAGCTTTGCAAATATAAACTGTGAATTAGAATTTATGTAAAAAATTGGTTTTCTATGGAATAATAAAAATATCATCCACACCAAAATGTATTTTAAATTCTTAAGCTATGTAAAATTGCTCGTAGACAACCATTAAATATGATATTATTATTGCTTATTCACTTGAAATAAACTATTCAAAGTACTTTAACTGCTGAGTAAAGGAAAATAAATTGTCTCAAGATAGCAGCCTTTGAACACTTATGTTTACAGTAGAGCTTATAGAAGTTTCCACTTGAGCACTTATAAGCTATTTGGAGATTTTCCTCAGACCCAGGAGCTGACTAATCAGTTTCCTCATTGCCAGCTTCATGTCTCTGTTCCTCATTGTGTAAATGGCAGGATTCAGGATGGGGGTGATCAGAAAGTCCAAAATGGCAAGAAATTTATCCACCGACACTGTGGGAAATGGCCACATATAAACAAAGATGCATGGTCCAAAAAACAAAACCACCACAGAGATGTGAGCTGAAAGGGTGGAGAGGGCCTTGGACAAACCACCTGAAGGGTGTTTCCATACAGTGAACAGGATGAGGATATAGGAGATAATCAGCAAGAAGAAGGTGCCTGTGGAAATGAACCCACTGTTGGCAGTCACCATGAACTCCATTCTATAGGTGTCTGAGCAGGCCAGTTTGATAAATTGAGGAAGATCACAGTAAAAACTATCTATCTCATTAGGACCACAGAAAGGCAAATGGACAACAAAGGCTAACTGGGCCACTGAGTGAATGATACCAATAAGCCAAGCACCAGACAGAAGCAAACTGCACATCCGTGGGCTCATGATGGTCAGGTAGTGGAGGGGCTTGCAGATGGCCACATATCTGTCCAAGGCCATGGCTACCAGGAGCACCATCTCAGATCCACCCAGGACATGAAGGACAAAAATCTGGATGACACACCCCTGGAATGATATGGTATTGTGTCCAGAGTAGAGGTCAAAAATCATTTTGGGAACCGTTAAGGTAGAAAGACATAAATCAATAAATGAGAGGTTTCCTAAAAGGAAGTACATGGGGGAATGTAAATGAGCATCGAAGGTCACTGTAATCACAACGAGGGTGTTTCCCAGCACAATGGTGAGGTACAACACTGTAGAGCAGGTGAGGAAGAAATGCTGAATCGGTCCATATGTAGAAAGTCCTAGAAACACAAATTCACATACCGCAGTATAATTTGTTTCATACATTGACTTTGTCTAGTATTACCTAAAAGACCCAAAACATAATAATTATTAAACAATTTTTCAGAAATATTGAAAACAGCAGATTTAATTGCTTCAAAATCTTAATTAAAGAAAAATCATTTCACATATCTACAATGTGTTTTGAAAACTTCTGCCATCATTCATCCACTGGACTAATACTTATCATCATCTACTATATCTCAGGAACTATGTCAAGTTCCAAGGTAGGACATAGATCCTGGTTTCAAATGAAGCTAAACAAATAGTCAAACTGTAATATATTCAGAAAATATATTATAAGGAAAAGAATAGTACTATGAGAACAATAGTATTCATCATAGTGGTGCTCCCTATGACTGCTGAACAGGATTGTTACTACTGATGGGTAAGGTAAGTAGGATAGTTCAGACTTATAAAAAAAGGTATATGGTTTAAGTACAAACAAATTATAGAAAACAGTTACAAAATATCAGACCAATTACTAACGTATTTAATATAAAATTATTTCTTCCATATTGATAAAGAAAAGTAATAAAATAAATAATTTTAATGTAAGTAGACATAAAGACTATTGTTAAAAGGTGAAATCCAGATAGCCAACAATCATTAAAAGTTCAATTCATACTTGAAGGATAAATAGTATATCATGAGGTGCTATGTTGTACATAATAAATTATCAGTTTTTAAACATTGATGTCTTATGCATGAAGCTATGAAGATACAGACACTGTCCTACAGTGATAATGAGACTGCACACTGATACATTTTCTCTAGAAGGCGCAAAGTAGGCATTAAAATTTCCTTAACTTATGACTTACAACTTAGGCATAAGAATTAAATTAGTGTTAAATTAGCATCATGAGCTGGTGGGAGACCATGTACACAGTAGAGTCAAGAACGACTTGAGCACAGGCAGGCCACACAGGAATGTACACCCTAAGCCTTATGGACACAAATCAGGTACTTTGGCTGGCATCACAAAAGAGTGATGTCAGGAGGCTCTGCCCCAAGGGAGGTAGGTAGAAATTTTTGTAGAAAATAGCTGGGATAAAATATAGCAGGACTGAACAATAGGAATGGGACAATTACTGAGGTGACTGCAATAGGTGTGACTCACAACCTGAAGTCAAATCTGTGTCTACAGTTTTTAACAATGAAATGTATGTATTTAAAATATGCATATTCTGGAATACATATATATATATATATATATATATGCATACATATACATATATAGCATGTTCTAAAATAGAAAATATGTGTGTATATATACACATTCTATGTGTATGTATATACATACATATATACATACACATGCATTCAGTATATTTCCAATTCTGCAAAATGAGTAAAATTATTTTTATAAATATAAAAAATTCAGTTTCAAAAAAGGCAGTACCAATAGATTTTTTTTCTGGGTGGTAAAAAAATGGCAGATTTATTTGTCTTTTTTTTCTATTTTTTATTTTTCAAATGTTTAAAATTCCTTATTAATAAAACTATCTTCATAGGAAGGGAAAATGTTGTCACTGATTAATCAAAATATTATGATTTATAAAAGTTCAATATATTAACTCCATAAAGGGAAGGTTTAATTTGGAGAAATGGGGAAGCAGGCACAGGAAACTTACAAAAGGAGCAACAAATATGATTAGCCAATAAACATATTTCTTGGTGCTCAGCCTCAGAAGACAGTAAGGGCTTCATTGGTTTTGTATTACTAATCAATAGGGAAGAAGAAAAGAAGAAGTAGAGATATAGAGGGAAGAGAGAGTTGAGAGAAAGAAAAAGAATTCACATTATTTTCAAGGCTTCAATATAAAAGCCAGTCTTATTTGTTAAGGTATTATAAACTGACACTATTTGTTAGATTTTAAAATATACACATCAATTTCCAGACATACCAGCACAAAAGCAAATGTTATATATATGTGAATACATGTATGTACACATACATAATAGAATGTGAATGAAACGTGAATCCACAGTGAAGGTATTAATCACATTGTAGTATATCTCTACAATGGAGTAATATGATGCTATTAAAATCACCCAAATAGTTTCACTTATATAAATCTAGACAGATTTCCATTTAACCACAAACCAAGAGAATGCCTAAAATAAAATTAATCATATACTTTGAATAACAAGTTTCTCTAGAAATACACCAAACATTTCCAATGATAAATCTTGAAAAAAAGAGGTGCATGAGACTTTCACTTCCTATGTCTACGTTTATTTACAACAACCTGTTGTTGCTTTTGCTTTAATAGTTTAAGTACAAACTAAGAGGTTAAAGGCAAAGAACCCTGCAAATTTAATGTAGGGGTGTTAGAATCATTCAAATAAGCACTTATAAATTATGACAAAGTTTTGTAAAAACAAATATAAGAACATCTGTTTTTTTTAATTAAAAAAATTACAAATTGTTCACAGAGCCTGTTCTCAGCAAGGGATGCATCACCAACATTAAACCTCACCTTCCTATTATTGCTGGCTTCTTGTAAATGTGTCTGTCATTCCAGGCAGGAGATGAAAGACAAAGGGAGAAGAGAGTAGAGAGGGACCTGGACAAGGAAAGAGAAGAAACAGAGAACAGAGGCAAGAAGGAACAGCACAAAGGTGAAAGGGAAGCAGTTGAGCCAGCTTACCAAGGCAGCATTTCCTGCACCTTCCCGCCTGCTCCCTGCTTAAATTCCCTACTGACCTCTGCCTTGGGAACATCCTAGTGTGGTGATAAAGATTCTGGAATCTGTCTGCTGCACATCTGCCCTGCTTCTCATCCAGGCTGTCCCCCTCACAAACCTGATGCATGACATGATCAGTTTTTGTTCTTTCATGATTTCCCAAGTTCACACATATTTTTTAAAGCATTCTTTATTTAGCTGATCAGATCTCCATCCATGTGTCAATTCATCCCTTTCTACCCAGCCTGGATTAGACATTCCCCCTCTTTGCTTTCACATTGTATTGGCAAACCTCCTATATTATTTGTTTCACAGTGTAATTGGCCATGAGTGGTCTCCTTGTCTCCCATATGAGGTCCATGAGCTTCCTGAGAGCAGGAACTGTATCTTATTCATAAATCCTGGCCCACAATGCTGTGAGTTTGAGAGATGCATGGTTAGGTGGGTACAAGCAGACATATGTATACAAATGTTAGGGTAAATTGATCATAGTTTCTAGGTAAAGAATGTTCACCCTGCATCTTGATCCTTGTAAAAAGTGATGACAGTGGAATTATTAAAAAATAATTTTTACTCCTGAAATTATCATGCATATATAGCTGGTCTGAGAGAATTCACTGTAAAACAAATTTCTAAGGTCTTCAATAGTCCCTATGGAAATATAATCTAGACTCAGGAATTTCCCCACAAACCAAGACATAATCCTGGCACATGAAGCAATAAAAATTCTAATTTCTCTTTGGAAGGACAGTGTAAGTAGATGTTCAATAGGTGCTTTTAAATTGAAAAACAGAAATGGAGATGAGAAAGAGTTTCAATGTTTTGGCATAGGCACACTAAGTACAAACTAAACAAAGAAAATAACTGACAATTTTTATAGGTTATTAACTTTCATGGTATTGTTTCAACTTACCTTGCTCAAAACAAAGAAAAAATGATTCTGGAAAATAATGTTTGCACTATTACTGGATCTTTCAAGAAATATTTCTCTGTTTGGTGCTGTGTGTTTAGTGCCTCTCACAACTGCTGCAGCTCTAACAACCACCTAACAACAGCATTTGTTGACCACCTGATGACTGGTGATCTGAGTCCCCAAGTCATTTATCATGGGAATTCTACTTTTGAATGTTTATGGCCTTAAAGGAAAAAAAAAATATTATTAGCCATTCCATTAGGAATGCAGATAGAAAACAAAGGAAACTCTATCTAATAAAATATAAGAGCAAAATATCTTTAAAGAAAAATTAAAATTTGACATTTTATTGTCTATTAACACATTAAATATCATTTAGAACAATAATAGTAAAAAAAGAATAGCTATTAACAAACTCATTAAATAAACATCATTTAAAATTCTCTTGGAAGCATATTCATGCAGTATTCTCTGAAACAACTATATCAACTTTTTATCCCATTTATGCAAGAAACATCCCTATTTATATATACCAATATTAACTAAAATGATGATTAAATATATTGGCAAAGATCACCACACTGGTGTCATCTGATATACAAACCCAATTGCTTTTTGATTTCAAAGTCAATGGTTATAACCAGTAGAACATATTGTTTCCTTTTTAAAATTGTTGTTATTACATATAAGTAGGAATTCACAGACCTATTTATATTTTCCTTTTCTTAGCTTTTTTTACACATATTTTTATTTATTCTTTCTAACAAGACTGTGAGATGAAAAGGCAATATTTCTCTTTAACAAATGAGGTTGTGTCTCTGCTGTTCAAGGCAGAAAGGGAGCTAGAATTCTTGCTCCCATTTGTGAATTCAGTACTGTGGTGTTTTTACTCAGGCTGGTGCCAGGCCTACTGAGTGAATGCTTGAAATGTGGATCCAAAAATGATACGCACAGGTACAACACCAAATGCCACACACCCTTAGTCATTTGATATTGTCGATTATCAGAACTCCATTTCAACACATTGTTTTAACAAACTTGATTTTTGTCAATTAAATTACTGTTAATTATCACCATTTTACTATATTTTAGTTTATGGTTTATGCAATACCTAATCTGGAGGTTTTATAATGAGATGTTTAGTGTGTTAATAATAACAGATTATTTTAAACCACAAATGTATTTTTACTTAATATCAAGCAAAAGGAAAGTTGAACCTAAGTATGATTTTGAAAGAACTGTGGTAAATCAAATTGAGTGACAAAAATATTATCTCAGAATTTTAAATCGTATTTCTTTGTTTATCCTTTTTCAGCTTTTAATTTTATTTCTCTTTGTTGAGCTAAAATTCACATAACATGAAATTAATTACGTTAAGAATAAAATTAAGTTGTATTTAGCAC